AATAAATTCTTGTACCACATTGGTAGTGCCTGAAAAATTACATGCCCCCCAAACAATTCTGAGATAGAATTATATATTAAGAGTTAAATATTAAGAGTTTCTGATGTAGGTTTATATAAATAGAATTTTATTTCTACTTTCTGACTTGCATCCAAAAATGTGGGCAAAACTTTGTTATTGTTGATCAAAAATACTGAATTGCTGAAAAGGTGATCAAAGTTAGAAGTAAACTTTCAAATTCTAGCTATACTTTTGTATGCAGACTGTACACTAGGTCACAAAATGATGGCATTCCAGGAGTAATGAAATCAGAATTAAATGTGCATATAAAAATCAAGGTCACATCATTCCAGTGTTGATGGAGATCCTAAACCATAGGTAAGGAGGTTCTGAAATGAATCCTCTTGAGAGACTTCAGAGGTGAAGTTTCAGAGCACAGGGTGAGTTAGTCAAATGAATGAGAAGTTTTGCTAAAGTGCAAGTAGGACTGCTGACAGGGAAAAATCCAAGGTTAACTAGAGGTGGTGGAGATGAACCTCCAGCCAATCCCATTGTCTCTGAGAAACTGTCTAAAAAGCCCTTGCTCCGACTCTAAACATTCCAACGTACTCTAAACTCTTTCATGAGATACAGACACACACAAGCATCTGGCATCTATAGTTCATCTCTCTCCTGCTTGTTTTACCTCCTATTCGTACATATACTCAAGTGTTCCAATTAGATTGAATTATGCCTGTGTCTCAAATATGACATAAAGGCAAAACATGCCAAACCAACATGCCCATAAATAATTTATTCTCTTATATTGAAATACATTTCTCTTTGGTCAGATGAACACCTCCTCAACTTTCAGTCTTCAGTTTAGAATTAATTGCCATCTTCAATTCTTACATATCCTAAAGCATATGGTTTTCCACAATTTTATAACATCCTAATTACATGCACACACACAGTCGTGCGTGTGTGCACACGCACACACACACACACACACACACAATTACAGTACTTAATACATTAAAGTTGGTTGGCATTTTATTTGAAAAAAGTCAACTATTTTGCATATGAGTCACTTTTAGGCAGAGTCCACAACTTCTTCTTCCTTTACATCTTAAGTCTTTGTTATCCTTTTGGCACAGAAAATCTTACCACTGGAAGAGAAAGATGATGGGATGGAGGAAAGAATTCTTTTGTCAACAAGTTTTTCAGGGATAAAATGATACGTGTCACATTTCACATTTTCTCTCTTTTTCTGCCCATCGTTCCATCCTTTTCCTTTGTTTACAGTAGGCCAATTCACCCATTATTCTTTGAAAAGGAATTGGGAGCATAACCATATTGATTCACTACCAAAAAACAGGTCTTATGGGACATCATGAAATAAACTGAAAACAGTACACGATGGATGGTAAATCTGAAAACTAGTAAGTTGTTATAATTTGTCTTGCAAATTGAGCTCCCTCAGTTTTATGCCCTTCTTTCTTCTCAGCAGGGCCATGTCACCTCCGTGACAGTGCTGCATTGTTTATAAGGAATTTACTATGAAATCTACCTTCAATACAGAATTATATGAACTCACTTCTTGAAATTTCCTTTATGTCTTGATTGTCAAAAAGGCCATGATAGATATTGTTTCATTACAAATTTATCAGGTCCATATGGAAAAGAATTTTAATTAAGTTAAAACTTGGGCTAGGGATACAGTTCAGTTGTAGAACATTTGCCTATCATGTGTGAGATATTGGGTATACACACACACACACACACACACACACACACACAAAGATTTCAAATCCAGTTTGTCAAATAAAATACTCTTTCTAATAAACCTCCTAGCTTAAGCTAATATATTCTTGTGAGGCTATTTTCCTTCTACTCACACTTACACTATTTTAATTATTTAATTTATGCCAGCTGATTGATTTTAAATCTTGAGTAAAGGATCCTCAAATGCTTTTTAAACATGTGGCAGAGACAATGTAGAAATGAAACTTAAGCACTCTGTCTATATTTAAATCTTCCCCTGTCTAGACCAAAGATACACTGGCTTTGCTCCCTTTTGGTAAGGCTTCTTTAGGTTGGAAGATATTGAACACTGGAATCCAGAAGCAAAGGCAAAGGCAAAATAGCCCAACTCAGTCTGCTCCTTATTCCCTTATGACAATCCATCAACTATTTTTCCCTCTTCAGAAAACCACCATGACCATGCTGGACAGTCCTAGCTCTTCCATCCTGTGTGCATCCTTGGGTATTCTTTCCTCGTCAGTCATCTCTCTGTGGGAGTTCCAAAAGGCTACTATTTTCATAAATTCATGTTTGGAAAATTATAATGTACATTTCCAACATCAAAATCAAATTCAAGTCCCAGAAGGCCATACATAACCCATGAGCTGAATTGTTTGATAAAAGATGAAAAGGATGGCTTAGAAAAAGGAGAAGAAGAAGAAAAAAAAAAAAACAGCAACTCTAAATTCCATTCACGATAACCACCCAAAGAGAACCAGGGAGCATCCATCTGCTCTTGTCTAGACACAAACTCCTTTCCCCAAGGAAAGAAACTGCTTGCTTGGAAGGTTTTCTTATAGTTTAAAATAAGCATCTCAAAAATAATCACAAACGGTTTATAACTTAAGAGGAAAGATGGCACATTTAATTCTGAAACTTGAGGAATGAATAAAGAATTGAGTGTGATGCCTTATTTAGCTTACAGTGTTTATCAGAACCTTGCTTGATAAATACAGTTTAATTTGGCATCAGTGGGGTTTAAAGACTTAGATGGCGTTAAGAATGTAGTAAAACACTTGCTAAGAATTCCTTTCACGTGATGTTAAAGATTCTGATTTTGATTATTAAGTATCTAATTTTTAAAAGGGTAAAAAAAAATGCCCTTAAAAGAAAGCAATTTGTCATTATGTTTCACTTATATTAATAAACATATTTGACCTTCAACTCCAATCAAGGCTGGAAGAAATGAAGAGGCAGGTTTAGATCTAAAGGGGTTAAAATTTAATTTAAAAAATCAATACACATGACACAGGTCGTAAGATATACACACAATAGACTTGTTAGGGGACAGACAGATGTGAATAGTGGGAACACGAGGCTAAGGGAATAATTCTACAAAAAAATGGGGCCGCTGTGCTCACCCCCCACATTTTCTTTTCCACGAAGCAATTTACCTGCAGCCCTGCCTGGCTTAAGGAGACAGGATATGTCACATTCCTCAGCAAACTACCTGTTATCTACAGGAGAAATGCAGACATGAAATAATGTTGATAGGAGGAACCCAAGTTACTCTGAAGGGGGAGACTTTTGTGACCCTTTTCATAAACCAGATCTCAAAACTCAGGCAGATAAGGATAACTCCTTCTAACCATAAAATCTGAAGGATTTATGGTTAATCATCCAATTAGAACTGTTGAGCATGGGCCAAAGTGACCCAGAGTTGTTATGGCAGTGGGGACTTGAAAGTCTGTTGTTATCCTGCTGTCAGTCAAAGGTGAAGAGGTGGACCCGGGTGGGACTGTCTGGAAACTTCTCTGGGATCCCTACAAAACTGAAGTACAGGAGAGGCATGTTGTCCCCTTTTCCCTCTGAGGGAACACACTCTCTCCCTTAAGAGTGTCATTTTTCCCTTTTCCTATCCCTTCTAATAAACTCATGCCTGTTCCTCAGAGCAACGTTTCTGAAATCTTTCCGACTTGATTGCAAGAATTGGGGTTTGAAAGGGGCGGGGGGTAGGGTTCTTCATGCTTCCTCATTTTCCCAGAAGTCCCCAGCCCTGAAACCGATTGACTACAGGAAAACAAACACATGCATTAAAACGGGCAATACGCTTCGTGCTTCACAATATGAGTGTATTGGGTTATAAGGTATTTAAAGAGATGGTTAAGTGAGGCCATTATGGATTATCTTAATCCAATCTGATTGATATCCTTCTAAGAAGAGGAAATTTGAACACAGACACCAAGAACACAAAATCAGACAGAGATGAGCATGAGAACAGGCAGCAAGAAGGGGGTCATCTTCAAGCTCAAAAAAGAAGGCTCAGCAGAAGACCAAATGCCGAATGATCTCTCTGATTAAGGATGTTGATCCATAATATGCAGGGTGTTGGAGATGGGAGGATTAAATGAACTCTAGATAGGGCAAAGGGGAAAAGAGAAGGGAGGGGGTAGGAAAGATGGTGGAATGCGATGGTCATCACTACCCTAAGTACATGTAAGAAGACAAGAAGGATGTGACTCTACTTTGTGTACAACCAGAGGTATGAAAAATTGTGCTCTATATGTGTCATATGAATTATAATACATTCTGTTGTCATATATAACAAATCAAAGTTTAAACAATTTTAAAAAAGAGAGCTCAGGAAACCTATCCTATAAATACCTTTATCTTGAACCTTTAGCCACAAGAATGATAATAAATTATATTTGTTTAAGCCAAAACAAACAAACAACAAACAAAAAAACAGGCAATAAATAAACAAATGGACAAATGAAGTGTTTGAAATATAAGGCCATATATTGGAACCAAATGAATGTCACAGATAATAAAGATAATGGGTGTAATGGGTGTAAGGAATGGGATTGGAATTTGTTGAGATGCAGGTTTTATGGGACAGTTAGAGGACTTCACTGATAAGGAAGAAATTGGCTAATGTTAGAAGACAAACCTGGGAGGCATGGGATCTCAGGGTCACTTTGACCATGATAAATAGAACCTCTCTAGTTCTTATGTCCATCAGTTATTTCTGGTTATTCAGCTACACTTAGAGGTTTTCATCTTCCATTATCAAAACAATTTCTGGAGTACTAAAATGACATACTACATGTGCTTTCAAACAAGTGCCTGTCAGTGTATTCTTCACCTCTCAAACTGAAGTGCCCATCATTGATATGGCATATTCCTCTCTGTGAGAAGCTTGGTGATGGGGCTACATACTACCTCAGTTTGTGCACAGTGCATCCTGGCCTCTACTGCCAGTAGGCACCAGCCCTCACCCTGCTGGACATGACATACAGGATCCACTTCTTCTCCACTACCAGCAACATGGATGCTAGTACTGGTTCCCTTGAAGGGACAAAGAAATACCACATATGTGCAGTTCCCAGGATTCTGCAGCCATGCTATGATACATTGTAGGTATGCAGATTTATGTCCTTTCTTTTGTATTTTCTTTGACAATGGACACTCTTTGCTCTGTGTCCCCAAATTTATAACACATAATTATGTAATCGTGAGCCTTCCTATGTCCACCCCAGCCCATCTATACTATGTGTTGTGTATTTTATTAATAGGTTAAAATTGTGCATTTTCCTTTCTCTTCATAAGTTTTATTTTCTGAGGTGATTCTTCAGGCCCTGTGCTGCATGAGCTGCACAGGTCTGAATTGTCGCAGAACACATCATTTACAAACAAGCCCATGTAGAAAAATCAATTTTCATGTTTCAGTATGGTTAGGGTTGTCTAAGCAAAAATGACTGGTCACCTGATCCAAAGGACAACTCAACAGCAGCCCTAAAAAAATATCTTGGAGGGAGGTTCACAGTTTTATTTCCTCCAAGATGTTTGCTTACATTTCAAGGGAGGATAAAACCAGGAACAATATACTTCTCTCCCAAGAGTTGTGCCAATCTAAGTAGGGCCTTTTCTGGAAGGAATATGGTCATAATAAGAGGCAAATACTTCTCTCTTGCCCTGAGAAGGGAAGGGGCAGTTGAAGACCAATTGCTATGTAACTTCCACGTCCATAATCTTATGTTTCTTTTCCTATAGTGCAGACTCTTCTGCATACACAGAACCCATCATTACACTGTCCTGACAGGGAAAATGGAATGTGGGGAACTGATGCTGTCAACAAGTTTATGCTCTGAGCCAGAAAACTTCACGTGTGTTTTTAGGACAAAGCAAATAAATGAAGATATTTAAAATCCTTATCAATCAGCTGTCTGGGATAACGTAGATTGTATAGGATTCAGTCATATAGAAAAGACATTGAGACAAACTACACATTGCCTTTTTAAGGGATATTAAGTGATTGAAATTTCCTTCTCATTCTTTCTATATTTCTGATTTCCCACCACCAGGACCATCAAAGCCACCAACAGCCACATCATTTCCTCAATATCACTATCATTTTGACCTTTCAGAAATAAATAAAATACTTTACACCAATAGTAAGGATTATATTAAAGCACATTTAAAATATATTAAAATGTCTAGGCTGAGCAAGCTCAGTCATTATAGCTTCTGTAGAAGTTCATTACTTCCATAATCTATTTTCAAGGTCAGTCATGGAGAAGTGACTTAGACTGGAACAGTCCTTCCTATCTATAATACCTAACTTTTTTGTCTTCCCAATGAGATGTCCCTACCACCTTGTTCTAACATTGATATTATTTCCCTCTGTTCGTCCCTTCCCTCAATCCAGCCACAAGGATAAGGCAGATGGCCCAAATCCGTACAATTGTAAAATGCTACCCTACTGTGGGTCCAAGAGGAAGTATGCCCCAAAGAGTCAATCAATCAGATTGCTCCCCTTTGAAATGTAGAAAGTGGAAGGAAAAAATTCTCTCCATTTATTTAGGAATCTTGGGCTGTGAGCCAGAGGTTGCCAATGAACATATTCTCTACTAAAAATAAAATGTGCAATATCCCAATGGCTTGTGTTCATTTAATCAATGCATATATATTAAATGCTAATTGTATGATAAAAGCCTTCTAGGCTGTGGCTTCACACAGAAGCACCTGGCTCTAGGAGCTGAACCTGGTTATGAGCGCAGCCTTTTACGCTGAAGAGGAAATACGTCAAAAGACGGAGAGTTCTCGGTTTCCAACTGAGATCTGAGTTAGCATTAAAGAATAAGTTCAATAAACAGATGTTGAGAAGGAAGAGGAGGAGGAAATGAAGAACATTATAGGGAGGATAGTGGGAGCTGTGTAGATGTGTTCTGATAGAACAATGAAGCACCTATCCAGATGGAGCGGTGGATTTATACACAGGATTCACAGGCACTATGAGTTCCTATGGAGAGTGGTCACTAAGAGACCAGCAACAGTGATGTACATACATATTCTAAGATTAATAATATTGGCCATCTTTGAGTGATCAAACATCAAGTAATACACCAAACTGTATCCTAGAGGGATCAACTAATTTGTTTAAGATGAAAGTTAGTTGGCAGGCTACCGTAGGTTCACTCTATTGCACTGAACTGAGATAAAAGGACCCTTCAAAATTATTTCCAGCTGAGTGCTTTCTATTTGCTGATCCTCTTACATTTCCTATGTAAACAATACAGAAAAGAGGTCAAGAGTCTCCTTTCTCTCTTATTAAACTTCAGGTTCTAGACCTTGGAAGTAAAAATCGTACTACTGGTTTCGCCTAGGTGTTCTTCAAAATAGTGGAATTTTAACCTCTTCCTCCAGAATGATCAATAACAGAACACTTATTTAAAAATATTTTCATCTTAAATGTCTCCCTTTTTGGTCCTCTAAAGGAGAAATGTCTGACAGAGTCTCAGAGCACTCTCAACCCAATAATGGTCACATTGCCACAAATCTGCAAGAGCTATCAAATTTACAAAAATGACATTTGAATATAATCCATTCATCAAAGAATGAACAACTCTATGGATATCTAAATATGATGTCACTAATATATTTTTACCCCCCTCAGCCTTCTGCAGCAACCTGACTTTGCAAATGAGATTTCTGAAGATGAGTCTGGTCAAGCGTGTACTAACTACCAAGCCATTGGCAATTTGTTATAATTCAGGTTTTATTGAAGACCCCATCAAGAAAGCTATGTAAGTATTTATTGGGTCTGCTGTAGATCCATTTTATTGCTATGTTGGTTTCCTAAGAAATAAATAGGTAAATTTTTACATGATGCTGTCCTATAATTTTAGCATACTAGTATTCCATGAAATTATTTTCTTACATTTTACTTTGCATTCATATCAACACAAAAATCCTTCTTATGTTAAATACTGTCTTTACTGAGGAAGGAAAATAATTCATGGAAAATAAACCACAGATGGTTTTGTCACTCCTCATAGCCACTCATGGAAGGCCATCATATCACAGAGTAGGAGCTGTCCTTTAGTGGCCCAACCCTGCAGTCACTCATGTGCATAAACAGGGGCTAGGCTGTGTTGGTGGTCACCTTCTGCAGCAATATCTGGTTTAGCTAAGCACACTGCCCTTTTATATATACTTCTCTGCAACACACTCCCACACCATGCCCTTCGCTACTCTGTGTCTTTAGTACACAGGCTCCATTTTGCCCTACTCAAACTTTTCTCTATTTGGGGATATTTCTTTACCTTAGGCCAGTTATTCACAGTGGGTATTGTCACCCCCAACACAGGAATCTGGCAATGTCTAGAGATAATTTTTATTAACAGAATTTAGTGTGGGAAAGGCAACAGATGCCTCAAGCATCTAGTAGGTAGAGGCAGAATCTAAATATTCTACAATGCACAGGAAGCACAGGCCTCTAACCCCCAAGAAAGAATTGCTCAGACCAAAGTGTCAGTAGCACAGCTCAGGGTCTTAAATCAAACAACTCAAATTTTTAAAAGAAAAAAAAAAACATAATAATTTATTTGTTTTCTTTTTTTCTCATCTTTCTCCTTGTCTTCTCCTTCTTGCCTACCACCCCTTTGTTCTCTCCCCCAAATCAAATGTACTCTCATGACATTAGCTAAGTTTATACAGAAAAGTGATCAATTCAAATAAAATATTAACCCAAAGGCAGAAATTTGGCATCAGTACAGGATTTGGCACATGCACAGAAGTTTTTATTTTGAGGCTGTATATCTCCTTAGCATAGACATTCACACATTAGAACTAGCCTTATATTACTGTAATTGATTGATTCTGTGGTCTTCCTCAAAGTTCATGTTCTTGATCTGTGCAAGCTTATTCACCGGCAATTCTAACTAGCAATTAGTTAACAGCAAGTGGTTTGTTTCCATTTCTGTGGCAATCTCTCTACTTAGTTATAAAGAAGCAATATATTCTGGTTTATGAAATAAAGAATAATTAGAGAAAGAGGCCAAATAATTGACATATCTTTGTAAGTTCTTAGCCCA